ACATGGCAGTGGCAGACCTCTCCTGACCCGCCCGCTGCTCCCCTCAGCAGTGTACTTGGTCGATGTACTTCGTCGATCTGCCTGTTCGGCTCCCCACTTTGTCTCTGGTGAAGCCTCTCGCCAGCCCTGAGCCTCTGGCCTGTACCCCAGTTTTGTATGCACAAATAAATAAATCTTAAAAAAAAAAAAAGCTGCCATTTGTTACTGCTGTAGATTTCAGCACAGCTCCCAGAGAGTCTGACTTTTCTTAGCTTGCCTTGGTTGTTTTGCAAAGTCCTTGTTCTTCATCGGTTTACTGAGACCAGGCGTGTTTCTCAGACCATAGAACATCTCATTCATACATCGTGTGGACAGGAGAGGGGGTAGGTTAACATCGTATTTTATAGCTCACCTATTCCTAGACACTTACCAGAAATATGAGTGCTGGGAATCTAGCACCCGGAGCTACAGTTCCTCTCCCTGGTTTTCTTTTTGCAAATTCATTGATTTTAAGTTGCTAAAAGTAAAGACATTTTAAATCTAAGAAATTTAAATTTAAGAACACCACTAAAATTTTCATAGGTCCATTAAGCAAATTAGAATTTTTTTTTAAATCTTAAATTTATTCTGTAAATAAATAAATCTTTTATTTTATTTTATTTTATTTTATTTTATTTTATTTTATTTTATTTTATAGCAAATTAGAACTTTTTTCTTAAACAGTGTTTGGAAGCCCCCTAGCTGTTTTTGAAGATAGGAAAACACAGGGAAATAGAGACAGTCCAGGCCTGAAGGTAGGCAAAAGCCAAACCTTCAGCCATAAAATATAAAACTGAAGTCTTAAGCGACAAGTAGGAGAGACAGACAGAAAATTACCTCTTTAGGGTGAGGGACCATATTAAAGACAAAAACCCTTTAAAGTCAAAATTATAATGCTGGCGAACTTTACCTACAGATCTCTTCCTATCCATTTTATTTTATTTTAAATAACATTTATTTATTTATGCGCACAGAACTGGGGTACAGGCCAAAGGGGAAAGGGTGGTGAGAGGATTCACCAGAGGCAGAATGGGGAGCAGAACAGGTATATCTACTGAAGTACACAGCTGTGGGGAGCAGTGGGAGAGACAGGAGAGGTCTGCTGTGCCATGTGGGTCACCTCCCTGGCTGGGGATGGGACTCGTGCTGCAGTGGCTGTGCTGTTGCTGCTAGCTTTATAGTGGACTTCTGCAAGGGGTTAGAGAGTTTGGGAGCCAGATGGTAAAACGTTCACTCACATGTCAGTATGTCTGGAAGTACTAGAACTCTTTACCCTGCAGCCATCTTGGGGTACCAAACTGTTCACCCATGTTGCTTCAGTCATCATCCCAAATGGCTTAGCTAAGATGGGGGTTTTGAGGAGGAGAATGCAAGCTGGCTCTCACAGAGACAGTAGTGTGGATTTCAAGGAGAGATCTTGGTGGGGGCTAGGGGATGCACCATTGCTAGTCTAGGGATCTTCATGTATGCACTGTAGACTACATGCAAACACTGTGGGATTAATGCTCTGTTTTCTTTGAACTGAAATGTTTTTTTTGAACTGAGAGTCCTGACCCAGTAAAACCTAAGACATGTTGGGACATCGCCATCAGGAGAACAAAGATGTTTTCCCAGTACTTGAGTCAAGATAACCAAGGAGGTGACAAAGTGTGGGGACAACATGAAGACCAGGGCACCAACCGTGATGGGCTGCTGTGATGGCAAGTTTGTGGTACAGGTGAGTTAGCTCACTAGAAAAAAAAGGCCAACTTGAGATGAGATGTTAGAACTAGTTTTTTGGGGGTAAAATGCTCCCATTCTCTCAAACCACTGGCTTTCTGACATTAAGTTGTGTGACATAGATTCAATTCCTGATCTGTTTAATTGGTTTGCGGCAGTGAAGCCCAACCCTGGAAGTTTTTGGTTACAGTATGATAGAGAAAACATGTATCTTGCAAATTGGAACACAAGAATAAAAATAAGGGATTTAAAGGTTTTAGGAGAGAACAGATATGAGGGAGGAGAAAGAGAAAAACAGCCCCACAGCTGAAAGGTGGCAGAGACAGAGCAATGGTCTCAACACTACAACAGAAGTGCAGGCAGCTGCTTGCTGAGAACAAAGGCAGTCCCATAAAGGCTCAACATGGCCGCGTCTTACTTTCTGAGGTGCGTAAGCTTCTTGCCCTTTGCCCAAGTCTCAGCAACACAGGAAAGGATCAGGAGGTTAGGCTCAAAATTGCCCCACCAGAGTCACTATGAACTCTGACCCAGAGGGGTGGGTTTTGTCCTCCAGGGAAAGAATTTACCAGAGAGCTCGATCTAGTTGAGCATATTATATTTTCCATTGTCCAATTTCTATTGTTGCTAGGCAGCTTGCAAAAGAATATTAGTCCTGTTTACTTAGCCCGTAACCTTGAACTGCTTCTACATTTTCAGTACGTAACCCAAAGGAAAGTCACTGAAGTAGAATGGGAATTTAGCACAATGGCTTCAGACTCCTACTTGCCCCATCCAGCATTTGTGAAAACCAACTGTGCACATTTCAGAACCAGTTGTCTCTAGCGCTACTGGTTTGAATTGAGCTCTATTAGTTTATCTCACACATGGGCACCACTAGTTGTAAAACTTCTATCTAACAGGAGTTTAGGGTCTGGTGTTTTTTGTTTTTTTTTTTAAAGCCAATTGGCCAAATGTTACTACCTGACCTATAAATTCCTGTCCCCGTGTTTTTTTTTCTTTTTCTTATTTTAAAAATTAATTTATATATCTATTTACATTATTGTTCATTTTAAAACAATGTTTACTTCCCCCTCCCCAGCTTCACCTGCCTGTCATCACATTCCTACCTCCCCACATTCCTTCCTCCTTCCAATCCCTCTCTGTCCCCCTCCCCTGCAGGATCTCTCTGGTTTATAATTGTATGTTTTGGTTTGGTTGTATTGTGTTTTGTTTTATAATAACAATACACTTTTATTCCCCCATGTCTTATTTGATTCTCTGATATTGCTCCGATAAGTGAAACCATTCAATATATTTCTTCTTCCTTCTGACTTATTTCACTGAATCTGATACCTTCTAGCTCCATCCATGTTGCTGTGAATGGCATGAGTTTATCTTTTTTGATTACTGCGTAGTATGTCATTGTGTGTGTGTGTATATGTTGTATACACACACACGTGCACCCATATATACACCACATCTTCTTGATCCAGTCATCTAGTTTTGGGCATTTGGGTAATTTCCAGGATTTACCCATTGCAAATAGTGCTACCTGCCCCTATTGTTAAGCAAAAGTTGCCAAACCCCACTCAGGATCCCATCTCTGAGCCCCTGCCCCCTTAAGCGAAAAAAGTATTAATTTCAGCAGCGTGAAGTTCCAAGGGGAGCTTCTACTCTTCTGTCCAAATTCACTCTCCAGTGTGTACTTGCACCTACAGTAAATCTTCATTTCTCACTCACCTACACTGACACCTGCATACAGTCTTTCCTTAGGGTTCCTCGGCACCCCTGGGCCTCATCATCATGAAGGGCTGATTGGGTATCGCTCATGTTAGGCAGAGGTCTGGTGGATCACACACTTCATTCTGTGCAAGGGAGAAGGAAGCAAGCGAGTGAGAAAAGGTAAGAGAGCCAGAGTCTGTATCTGGGCGTCAGGCCGACCTGCTTCCTTGCCACGGGTGACCCATGGGTGATCCCCATAACTTTCACCTTTGTTCCTGAGCTATCCAGATTTCCCTGAAGTGTGGGCCTGACTGCAGCAGAGGGGCACTCCATGAGAACCCCTGAGAAAAGAAGTCTTCTCTTTCTCTTCCATTTATGGGTGAAGAAGTGAACTCGACTATTTCATAATCAGAGAGCAGTTTTCAAAGAAAACCAGTGAAAAATCACCATTCATCCTAATTCTAATTTTTAAGTTGCCTGGTTTTCTGAAAACCGCATGTGGGAATCGTCAGGACTCTGGGCCAGCAGAAGGAGCAGTGTCTCAAGACAGGCCGAGAAAGGCAGAGTTGGGTGTCCTCCTGGTAGAATGCACCAAGACTGTTGTTGCCTGGTTAGAGGTGAGAGGCAATGTGACAACCCTGTCCTGAGGAAGAGTGGGTGGTTGGGAGTGGGCTCCGAGCACAAGGGAGGAGAGAGAGGTTTCTGAGGCAGGAGAAGAGCACGAGAAGGAAAGCAGGAGGCCAGGCTCTCCCTCAGGTGAAGCCCATTGACCACTGGGATCTTCAGGCCGGGAACAACATCCTGACCGCCTGTTATGTGGGGAGGTGTGATGGGCAGATAAGGAGAGATTCTGTTCTAAGCCTCCACGTGGATGAGGAGGAAACGGAAGAGAAAAACAGAATAACTCACCTCAGAGAATTCCTCCTGGCTGGCTTGCTGCAGTGATGAGGCCTGGGGGTGCCAAGGGGCTCTGGAGGTTCTTCTTAACTTCTGTGCAGGAAAGCCTTCATGCAGGAGTCAGCTTAGGTGAGTTAGAAAAGCATTATTGTAGGTGAAAGTACACATTCAAGAGTGAGGGCAGACACCAACCGAGGAGAACTGCTCTTTGGATCTTAAGGCTGCTGACATAAATACTTGCTGAGTTTGAGGGGCAGGAGCCCACACATGGGATTCTGAGTGCATTCCAGTCAGTTTTGTTTAACAAGACTACTGGGCTTTCACATCTTGTTGGTGAAGTAATGAGAAGTTTTATAGCTAGTGGCACCCAGTGTTAGATAAGGGTCTAAACTGATAGGGTGTGGCCTGATTTTCTTTGAAATGTGGGCAGAGACAGACAGAGACAGAGGTAGAGACAGAGACAGAGAGGTACTGGAGCCTTTGTGCTGAATTCCTGTTCTGTCTCAGTACCCCAAGTCTGGGAGGGGCTGAGTGTGAACTGTAGCCAGCAGGAGGAGGGAGCTGACTCGTCAGCGTCTCCCTTAGCCTTGAGCTGGTGGTTATAAGCTGGCCCTGGGGGCCCAGGGCCAGAGCTGTCCCACTGGCCTTTCTGCAGTGGGGTCAGCATGCTGACCAGGGGGCTTCCCCTGCGCTCAGTCCTGGTCAAAGGCTGCCAGCCCCTCCTGGGCACCCCATGGGAGGGCCCTGGCCATCCCAGGGTGACCCCTGGAGAGGGAGCTGGCCTGTCCACTCGCCCCAGCCCTCGCCCCTTCAGAGAAATCCCCTCTCCTGGTGACAACGGCTGGCTAAACCTGTATCATTTCTGGAGGGACAGTGGCTCTCACAAAATCCACTACCACCAAATGCAGAATTTCCAGAAGTATGGCCCCATTTATAGGTAAGTCTGACGAAGACAGGGATAGGGAGGAGAGAGGAGGGGAGCCCTCCTGTATGCTTCCCTCCCCAAAGGGTCTGTTGTCTGGGTCCAACCTTCTGCTTTTCTTTCTTTCCATGCCTGGGAGAGTCACGGAAGGAGGGATAAGGTTTCCGAGACAAAGGGTACATTTCCCAGCTTTTCGGCTTCTACTCAAAGGTCTTCTACCTTTTGACACTGTGGGGGTCATCCTCAGGTCACCTTGGGAGGTAAGTTTTCAGTCTCCAGGTCACAGGAGATTGAAGGACAGAGAGGCTAGAAGTTGCAAGTGGTCACCCGGCAAGCCCCTGTCCCCTGGGTGCTGCCCTGCGTCTCTCCCAGCAAGGATCTGGGGAAGCCAGCTGCGTCCCTTACCTGGGTCTTCCCCAGCGTCTGCCCAGGCTGTTGCCTCTGAGTGCCCGGCCCTAGCTTGTTCTGCTTTAGCCCTTTCTAAGATGGGTAACTTTCCAGCCATACTGGGCTCTTTGCCTCACTGAGTGCTTTGTTGAGGGGGCATAAGGTGGTGGAGGTGGTGATGGGGCAGGGAGGAGACACCAGGAGGGACAAAGAATCCAACGAATGGAAAAGGTCAAGATGGGGAAAGCGCATCCTGTGATGCCTTGCTGGCTTGCTGGGTAGGTGGGTAGCAGACAGCTTGTGCAGGTACAGCAGTTTGCAGCCCCCCACCTGCCCCTGCCTCCTTCTGAAATCTCAGCTGCTATCTTTTTTTTTTTAAAGATTTATTTATTTATTCATACAGAACTGGGGTACAGGCCAGAGGTGTGGAGGGTGAGAGGATTCACCAGAGACAGAGTGGGGAGCAGAACAGGCAGATTGACGAAGCACACTGCTGAGGGGAGCAACGGGCGGGTTAGGAGAGGTCTGCCGCGGCGCCATGTGGTCACCTCCGGGGCAGGCGGGAATTGAACTCATGCGGAAGTGGCTTGAGATTCTTAGTGCTGTGCTTTAACCCACTGCGCCACCAAGGAGGGCCCTCAGCTGCTATCTTTCACAGCTTGTTGGAGCAGGTGGTCCCAGGCCGAGCTCGGAAGAAGGTTGCTCCTGTATGTCTTCCCCTCTCTCCTAGGCCTTGGCCCCCAATATCACTCTGTGACCTTCTGCCCTTGTCCTTTGCCTTCCTCAGTTCCTACCCCCTCAGGGAGGAGCTCCTTATGTTATCAAGCTCCTCTGAGTCACCTTCATCTAAGCCCGCACCATGGCCTTCAGGTGGGTGTTACTCTTTCCCTCTTACAGAGGAAACGGAGGCCCAGGAGAAGGGCCAGGGTCATCCAGAGCTCAGCCAGGACAGGGACCCAATTGCCAACCTGTGTCAGTTCTGGGTGTTTCCATTCTATTCTAACTTACAGCCTGAGGGTGGTAAACGTTGCATAAACTTGAGGACTTAAAATTACAACTTGTACTTGTTGTCTTCTTTATAGAACTGTTTATAGAACAATTTAGACAATAAAAACAATCACAGGGCCCTCCCTGGTGGCTCATGGACTTAAAGAACAACACTAAGAAGCTAAAGTCACTTCCGCATAAGTTCGATCCCCGCCTGCCCGGGAGGAGATCCACATGGCGAGGCAGACCTCTCCTGACCCGCCCGCTGCTCCCCTCAGCAGTGTACTTCGTCGATCTGCCTGTTCTGCTCCTCACTCTGTCTCTGGTGAACCCTCTCACCCTCTGCATCTCTGGCCTGTACTCCAGTTCTATGTGAATAAATAAATAAAATCTTTAAAAAAAAATCACAAATGAAGGCTTAAGGGCTTCCTCTTAAGGCTCAGAACCATCACCCAGTGACCCCCACAGCCAAGCAGACCTCTCCTGTCTCGCCAGCAGCTCACCTCAGCAGTGTATTTCATTGGATCCGCCTGTTCTACTCTCCACTCTGTCTCTGGTGAATCTGTACACCTCCCTTACCCCCCCACAACCTCATACTTCTATGCAAAAATAAGTAACTAAAGATCTTAAAGAAAAGACAACTTGGAGTCAGATAATATCCCCATTTCAGGAATGTGTGTATATCAGCGAGACCGTGGATGTAGGGTGTGGAATGTTGGGTGTTGCCCACAGCAATGTACAGAGGGTTTCTGGACTCATTTCTCTGTTTCCTACAGCTTAAAAGGCAGCCTGGTCATGCATAGCATGGAGAAGCCACACTGTCTGGCCAGATCTTTAAAAGGTGGACAGTTAGCCTACTCTGGGCCTTTCACGATCAGAAATGTGGCGCTGGGAGGAATGTGCTCATCTAGTAGGCCTCGCGTGTAGTGTCAGATCATTGCCTTGGGCTGGGTTCCCAGAAGTGGAATTGATAACTATAATGACAGTTCAAGGACTTGACTGAGTTGGATGGTGGCATGAGGATTTGTGGTAGCTGGGAAAAACACCAAGGGGATTAAATGGGAGGCCATGGGCGAAGGTTGAGGAGACTTGGGAAGATGGACTCAGGCTCCATCAGGGCAGGAGGTTATAATAACTCTCAGGGGCAGTGGAAAAGTATTGGTCCTTTTTCTTTCTCTTTGGAGAGGGAAGAAGGGAAGGAAGAAAAGGAGGAGAGGGAGAGAGGGAAGTGAGGAAGGAAGGGAGGAGAGAGAAAATCTGAAAGAGTTAACTTGGCTGGAACCTGTGTAGTGTTGGGATATGTTGCCTGAAAGTGTTTTACATTAATTTTCTTAGGCAAAAGGCAGATGCATGTGAGAAGTGGAGTTTTTGGCTGCTTTGTGACAGCTGTTTTAAGAGACTATCCACAAAGCTCCTTGTGAGGTCTCTCTGTACTTGGGGTCTGGAGCTCACACGCTTGTTTTATTTTCATGGAGACGCTGTGCTTTGTCAGAGGGCAGGGCAGTGTGGTCTAGCATTCCCTCTGGAGCCCGAAAGGGATCGAGTGGCAGGTGTCTGACCCACGAGCAAGTGACCTGAAGTCACTCTGGTAGAGCCTTTCGGTGGTGACACGGAGAGGCGGCATTTCTGAGTCCACAGTGGCTGACAGTTGGGGCTGAGGAGGGAGCCCCGGGACAGAGGACTAGGTGGCCCCGGGGGACTAGCAGTGGCACACAGCTCCACTTACTGGCGCCTGATGAGGTCACCTGCACGCACAGAGCATTCGCAGCATACACAGCTCTGAGACACGGAGGCACCAGAAAAACACAACAGACGCAGAGAGGGGGGCCTGGCCGGGGCTGCAGCCAGGAGGCTGGGGATGTGTTCTGCCGCCAGCCTGTCCTTGGCTCTAGTCATCAGCCCTGGTCTGCCGGGCCCCCCTCCAATGCTGACATCACAGCCCTGCTCTCCACCCTCCAGGGAGAAGCTCGGCAACCTGGAGTCCGTTTATATCATCGATCCTGAAGACGTTGCTGTTCTCTTTAAGTTCGAAGGTCCCCACCCTGAGCGCTATCAAGTCCCGCCCTGGGTGGCCTATCACCAGCAATTCCAGAGGCCCCTTGGAGTCCTGCTGAAGTGAGTCCTGGGCTGGCTTAGGGCCTAGGGTGGGCTGGGCCGCTCTTGCCCTGCTCTTTCTAGCTGGGGGCTCAGGCACCCCTGAATGTTCCTGCCTGCCTCTGAATATGCCAGTGGCTGATGGTTTGGCTAGCTTTCATGGCTATGGCCAGGCTGAAGGGCTTCATGTGTAAGTGAAGACCTTGTACGCTTTGCATGTACTTGTTCATTTGTTCAGTCCCATCTATTGTTCACCTACTAGGCCTTGTGCTAGGCTGCAGGGCTCAGTCACAAGCAGGGCCGGCTACTGGGGCAGACAGAAACCAGACTAGTCGGGGTGTTTCAGTGGAGTTTCCACCAAACCGCTCATCCGAACTGTGAAAGAGACCCCCTCAAGCGTTGGTGGGGAACAACTGGGACTCCTTTTTCTTGTTAAGGGGAGTGACAATGGAGCTGGGCTTGGGAAATGGCCAGCTTTTACCCCCTGAAGCTCAGGAGTTTCCACAGACCTCCTGGGGACACCCCTCCTCCCCAGGCTTGGCCTGCCTTGCTGCTAAGAATCACTGGGAGTGGGGGGTCAGGGGCATGGCCCACAATGCTTCAGTGACCTCACAAACATAACACTGAGCGAACAAAGACAATCCCTTGAGCATGCCACCTTTTGAAAGAAGTTAGGAGCAAGTAAACCATTTTTCATAATATGTTTTTGAAATGCATGTAGATCCGTCAAGCTAGCTACACAGCAAGCCAGGGAGTCCTGGGCTCCCCTTAGAGGGAAGGGTGCTGGTGGGAGGGCCAGGGGGACATGTGTCAGTCACTCCCATTCCCATTCTCTACATTGGGTGGCAGGTGATTTGATAATAACCAGCCCCCACCACTATGAAGAGGGTTTTGCATGGTGGATCTATTTTTTTTTTAAAGATGTATTTATTTATTTATGCATACAGAGCTGGGGTACAAGCCAGAGGAGCAGGGGTGGTGAGAGGATTCACCAGAGACAGAGTGGGGAGCAGAATAGGCAGGTCGACAAAGTATATTGCTGAGAGGAGCAGCCGTCGGGTCAGGAGAGGTCTCTGCTGCACCATGTGGACCACCTCAGGGTGGGCGGGGATCGAAGTCATGCTGAAGTGGCTTTTTAGCTTCTTAGTTCTGTGTTTTAACCTGCTGCGCCACTAGGGAGGGCCCGGTGGATCTATTTTTGAGAATGAGCTATAAGCTGATGTTTACCACAAATCCAGCTCTGGGCACCCAAGACCCCCAACAATGTGAGTAATGGGACATGGTGGGGGTGTGGTCTGTGCAGGGGCCAGAACAATGGCATAGAGGAGCCCTTCCCTAGCAGAAGGTGAGCACGGCCAGGTCACAGGGAGGGCGGAAGGCAGGCCCGTGGTGGAGGCAGACAGAGGAGCGTTTCCTAAAGGTCCACAGCATTTCTGCTTTATAGTGGCAGCGGTGGGTGCGTGTTCCCCTTCCCCTCTTTCCTCCTGTCTCATCCCTCTGGCCAGGGAGAAGCTGGGAAGAGGTGAGGGGCAGCGGGCCATGCTGGGGTGGACGTGAAAGCTGGACTCTGAGCCTGTGGCATGGCCCCCTGGGAGAGCTACGCCAGCCCCTTCTGTTTGTCAGGCTGGGTCTGTGATCATGAGGGCCCATGGACCCTTGTTTTCTCAGGAAGTCCGTAGAGTGGAAGAGAGACCGGCTAGCCCTGAACCAGGAGGTGATGGCTCCGGAGTCGATAAAGAACTTCATCCCCCTGATGGACCCGGTGTCTCAGGACTTCATCAGCCTCCTGCACAGGCGCATGGAGCAGCAGGACATGGGAAAGTTCTCAGGGGACATCAGCAATGACCTGTTTCGCTTTGCCTTTGAGTGTAAGAGGATGGCACCCAGTTGGCCCCATTCCTGGGGATGGGAGAGCCCAGAATCCACCTTGGTACCCAACACAGACCCTGTGGGAGGACAGGGCCAGGCTCCTGGCGGGAGCCACTGAGCAATCCAGGGTAGGAAAAGGGAGGCTTGCTAATCTGAACTGGGTATTTGAGGAAGTATATAGGAGTTATCTAGATGGTATAAGGAGGTCAGGTAGACAGCATCAATGAATTATAAGTGAAGAGCACAGCACATGCAAAGGCCCTGTGGTTGATGGGGATGATGTAGTCACTGTCGGGGATTTGGGATGCACAGTTTGGTATGAAACCCAATTCAAATTCCTGACCCAGTAGGCAGTAAAACCTAGGGTCCCCATGACTTATTTGCTCTTGATAGAGTGGACCGTGGGTGACCAATTACTGGGGACCCTGTTCCTCATGTCTTATCTGACCGGCTTCAAGTGGCCTACTGACTTTTTGGTCAATGGACCATGTATGACTGTGGTCTCAATAGACTATACAATCTAGCTAGGTGTGTGGTAGGCTTTACCCAATAGAGTTGGGTAATTACACTTTGATGTTCACACAACAATGAAGTTGCCTAACGATGACTTCATCAGAATGTGTTCTGGTCCTTTAGCAATACCAACTCCTTCCAGGCTCTTCAGCAAACCCTTCCAAAAGATCTGAGCGGTTTCCAGAAAGGAGCTTTCTGAAGTGCTGCAATTTTAGCTCCTCAGGCTGCAGTTTCTTTACTCTGTTGGTGGGGGTGGGGAATCCCTGGGAGCCAGGGGAACTATGGTGGCTGGTTTGGAAGGGGTGTCTCAGCTTGTCTCCTCCTGCAGCCATCACCAATGTCATATTTGGGGAGCGTCTGGGGATGCTAGGGGAAAGAGTGGACCCCGAGTCTGAGCGCTTCATTGATGCTGTCTACCAGATGTTCCACACCAGCGTCCCCATGCTCCACCTCCCTCCAGACCTGTTCCGTCTGCTCCGGACCAAGACCTGGAAGGACCACGTGGCTGCATGGGATGTTATTTTCAATAAAGGTGAGGATTCCTCTGGCTGAAGCTTGGACAGCCAAATCTGGGCCAAGGGAGTCCTGTCAACCCAGAGAGTGGGAAACCCAGGCCTGGGGGAAGGAGGAGGAGAGCTAGAGATAGCCTGAGATAGATATTCACTATCTGGAAACACAGGTCTCAGTCTACCTCTTTGTCCCAAGTTAAGACAATGGATGCTAGCTTTCCATGTAGGAAACCTGCCCACAGGTGGGCAGGGATGGGTATCAGGAGCTCCCTGGAACCCCTAGGAGGTGGGCTGTGGGCTGGATTTTGGGATGATTAGGTTTTCTGGAGAAAGAGAATCAAAGATGTCCATCATAATCTTCCAAGGAGCCCAGGACCCCTACAGGGTTAAAGATCATTTTTGGACAATCCTGATCTTGGTAACAGATTAGGATTTGGGGGACAGAGATAGATAAGTACAGATGGAGAATGCTAATTAGGATGGGGGATGTCACCAGACCTAGAGTCAAAACCCACCCCTGTCCCTGACACTCACATGACCTTGGACAAGTCACCACCCACGGAGGGCTTCTGTTTCCTCATTTGCAACACAGGGGTGATATCAACCCATAGCATTGTGGTCAAGAATTTGATGAGAAAAAGGCTATAAAGGGCTTAGCAGAGAGCTTGTGCTCAGTCAAAGGGTACCCCAGAACTCCCTAGCCCGTGGCTCCAGCTCTCACAGAAGATGGTGCTCCTTCCCTCCACCCTCCGAGGGCCTCGCTATTTTCTCTCATGCCCCACAGCTGAGATGTACATCCAGAACTTCCACTGGGACCTGAGACAGAAAAGAGACTTCGACAGTTACCCGGGCATCCTCTACCGCCTGCTAGGAAGTAACAAGATGCTCTTAGAGGATGTCAAGGCCAATGTCACCGAGATGTTGGCCGGGGGTGTGGACACGGTGAGGAGCCCAGAGGGGTACACCCTATCCTTCCTGTGACTCCTCTTCCCCACCACCCTCCTTGTCTAAACCCTGCTTCTCCAGAGACCCCATTTCTGAATCCAAATCGTCTAAGAGGGTGCGAGTAAGTGGAGTCACCCCAGGGCCTGAGCTGAGGTGGATCTGCCGTGGAGTTCCTCCTGTGCGAAGGGGTCGACTCGGCAGGTGGTGGCTCAGGTTCCTCAGGAGTCTGTGGGGGAGCCTGGGGGGTTTAGGGGGAGGACACCACTCTCTCTCAGATTCAAGGAAAGTCCTGGGAAAGCTGGAAGCCTGTGGAAGTTGCACTGGTCGCTGCCCTCCAGGGTCATCTTGTTGCCTTTCCTCCTCCTGCTTCCAGAACTCAGTTCCTCTAGGTCCTGTGGTGCCAGAGGGCATCTTCTGAGATGGTTCTCTGGTCCTGCCCATGGGCTCAAGGTAGCCTAGAACCATCTTACCTTGAATGTCAAACCTCTACTATTACATGTTTTCATGCTAATGTGATAGTGAGGGCTAATTACTTCGTGTTTATAATTAGGTATGATTCAGGCACTGAGAGACTAGGAAGATGAATATAATAGACCTCAGATATCCCAACAGCTCAAAGAAGAAATGTATTTTAGCTGGCTAGGACTTCCATAAGAAAGGACCACAGATTGGGTGGCGTAAGCAGCAGAAATTAATTGCTGGAGCTGGGAGTCCAAAGTCAAGGTGTCGGCAGGTGGGTTTCTCCTGAGTCTGTCCTGGCTCATTGATGGCCATCTTCTCCCTGTGTCCTCACAATCTTCCCTCTGTGTCTGTCCTAATCTTTTATTCTTTTCTTTTCTTTTGTTTTTTTTTTTTTAAGATTTATTTATTTATTCATACAGAACTGGGGTACAGGCCAGAGATGCGGAGGGTGAGAGGATTCACCAGAGACAGAGTGGGGAGCAGAACAGGCAGATCGACGAAGTACACTGCTGAGGGGAGCAGCGGGCGGGTCAGGAGAGGTCTGCCACGCCATGTGGATCTCCTCAGGGCAGGCGGGGATCGAACTCATGCGGGATCGAACTCATGCGGAAGAGGCTTTAGCTTCTAAGCGCAGTGCTTTAACCCACTGCGCCACCAGGAAGGGCCCCTAATCTCTTTTTCTAAGGCCCACTTCTTCTAATACAGTCTTGTTGGACTAGGGTCCACCCACATGGCCTCAATTCACAGTAATCACCTCCAAACAGTCACACTGTGAGGCGCTGGGGGTTAGGGCTCCTGGGTGTGGGTTCAGAGGCACACCATGCTGCCAGTGACGAGAAGGCAGAATTTGCACAGATGCGCCCCACTCCGTGTTATAGGGCTGGAAGACACACACAGACCAGGTACTGGCATCACCCGAGGGTGGGAAGACACGAGGGTGGCCTTGTAGGCCCCAGAGAGAGCTCAGGGAGGAGTTCAGATACAATTTGTGCCTTGAAGGCTGTTGCCAGGAGGAGAGGGGAGGGGTAGCATTCAGGACCAGGGAATGTCAAGCTCTTGACAAAGCCCCTGGACAAATAATTCTCTTTCCAAAGTATCACATTTACACTGTTCTCTAGTGGCGGTATCTCAGTCCCTGGGATAGGCTGCAGATGACACCTTTAAGTAGACTGAAAAAAAAAAAAAAAGATTTATTTATTTATGCACACAGAACTGGGGTGCAGATCAGAGGTACATGAGAGGATTCACCAGAGTGGGGAGCAGAACAGGCAGACTGACGAAGTACCCTGCGGAGGGGCGCAGTAAGCGAGACAGGAGAGGTCTGCTGAGACATATGGGTCAGCTCCCAGCTTGTGCTGAGGCAGCTGTGGCTAGCTTCACAGCACTGTGCTTTAACCAGGGAGGGCCCCCTTTAAGCAAATTTTAAGCGTGGTTCATTATCAGTTCGGTGGAAGAGATCTCCAAAAAAAAAAAACACTCCCCTGAACTCAAGAAGCTATTATTATTATGTAACACTGGCTAAGCACAAATTTTAGGGCAGGTAGAGTCCTAAACTTTTCAAACGTGTTAGCTTGTTTAGTATTCACAAACTACACTGGGCACAGAGAGGTTCAGGAACTCCCTCAAGGTCACACAGCTAGTAACTTAGTTAACTCTAAGTCTCTCCCGAGTACCCATTCCATCAGGCTTTGGAGGGAGCCAGACAAATGCATGCTGACCCTTGAAGGAGCACATACGAGGGAGGGAGGCATAGGATAAGGAAACGAGCAGGAGGACACTTCCCGGGATCTGTGTGTAGCTCAGTGGAATGAAAGCCTTAGGTGTTATGTTGGAGAGAGTTGGGAGTAGGGCTGAGAGCAGCATACAGGTGAGAGGATTCCCCAGAGTGGGGAGCAGAACAGGCAGATCAATGAAATACAGTGCTGAGGGGAGCAACGAGCTGGTCAAGAGAGGTCTGCTGCCCTATGTGGGTCAGCTCCCTGGTTGGGACTGAACTGGTGCTGCAGTGAATGGTGATAGCTTCATAGTGCTGAGACTTAGCCCCTTGCACCACCAGGGAGCCCTCCCCCCACCCCCACAGATGGACTTTCTTTCATGATTGCTCCTGTTGGGAGGGAGTGTCTAAACCTTTGGGACAAAAATATGACTCTTGGCAAGATAACATGCCAACAAACCATGTCCCAGGTTGGGGTCCTGAGGAATCCAGCAATGGGCCCCTCAGGAGGGTCACTCATGCCCCAGTGAAGGCACACACCCTCCAGTGAATCATTGTACAGTGGACCCCTGAACAGAGGGGTCCTGGGGTGCAGAAATTAGCATGTAACTTTTGAAGCCTCTGAAACTTCACTACTGTCATCCCTTGATAGCTCAAGAATACCCAAATCCTCTGATGCTCCAGACCCTCAAATCAAGTCCTGACCTGACTCTGTGCATGCAGAACCCTGGGACCTGGAGGGTCAGCTGTACTCATTGAAAACAGGTGCACATAAGTGGACCCTTGCAGTTCAAACCTGTGCTGTTCCAGGGAAACCTTGTGGATGCCTCATGCTAAACTGCAGCACTCTCAGTACCTTTGAGCCTCACTTTCTGCTCCACTGCCCCAGGCCAATGCTGACCCTGGGAACTGCTCTGCGGAGAGGAGTGGTGGGTTGTCAGGCCCTCCAAAGGGGTGGCAATCATTCAGAAGTCTAGGCACTTCAGAGGACTTGGCTTCCGTCAGCATCTGGGTTCCTCCGGCTGTGTGGTGGGGGGAATCCTCCAGTGGCTGGGGGTGCCCTGGTCACATGAGGGACAAGTCCAGAGATGGCCCGTGAGAAAGGTATTGGGACCTCTGCCTTTTGAATTGTGCTTTAGTTCGTGGCTGGCAGCCTCTGCGTTCTCGGATGGGGGAGGAGAACTTCCTGGAATTGAAGCTAGGGTCTAGGTGCCTCAGAAGTGGCAGGCCGCTGACCTGTACCCCACACTCCCTGCCAGACGTCCATGACCCTGCAATGGCACTTGTACGAGATGGGGCGCTGCCCGCAGATGCAGGAGATGCTGCGGGAGGAGGTCCTGGCTGCCCGGCGCCAGGCCCAGGGAGACCTGAGCAAGATGGTGCAGCTCGTCCCGCTTCTCAAAGCCAGCATCAAGGAGACCCTGAGGCAAGCCCGCACGGCTCCCTGCACTGCACCCCCACCACAGGCAGGGCCGGGAGACCCAGACAGGCTAGTGGAAGAGATGGGTAGAAGGTGGTGAGACGTGGGGGCGATGGCTGGGAATGAGAGAAAGAGGGGGAGCCCTGCCTCCAGATACCCCAGGGTGGCTGGGTACAGGGGTGTGGTGGGGGCAGGGAGGGACTCTGTCCAGGCCTTGGGCTATGAACACTTTCCTCTGGCAGACTCCACCCCATCTCTGTGACCCTGCAGCGATACGTGGAAAACGACATGGTCCTTCGAGGTTACCTGATCCCTGCCAAGGTAGGTGTGGCGAGCGGCAGGCGCTGGGCTGGCGAGCCCACTGAGATGCACACCTGGACCTCTGTCCCGCCCTTCTTCCTGCCGGGGCCCTTGGCAGCTGCTGTGCCAATATGAGTGAAGGGCAGAGGGGCCAGGCACTTGGGAAAGTTGCTGGAGTCCAGGGGTAGGAGGAAGTCCCCGTGACCGTGGGGTGTGGGCTTGTGGGACAGACAAGATGATCCCTTCGGCCGTCCCCAGCTAAGTTCTTCAGTCAGGCCCATCAGATCAGCCACGCTCAGGTTGGGATGGGGTCTCTTTCAGGGTCACACAGAGGCAATGGCCTCTGTGGGATAGCCAGACAGGCCCAGGAGTGGGGATGCTCGGCCACTTTTAGGACCGCGGGGAGGTGAAGTCAGGCCTTGGCTCACTTCCCCCCCAGACGCTGGTGCAGGTGGCAGTCTATGCCATGGGCCGAGACGCCAGCTTCTTCTTCAAACCGAACAAGTTTGATCCAACCCGATGGCTGGGGAAAAACAAAGACCTCATTCACTTCCGGAACCTGGGTTTCGGCTGGGGTGTGCGGCAGTGTGTGGGCCGGCGCATCGCTGAGCTGGAGATGACCCTCTTTCTCATCCATGTGAGTCGAGCCTGGGCACCCTGGGCTGGTCTTGGCCCCACACGGTCACCCACCTGCCTCCCCCCAACTCTGTCCAGAGCCAAGTGTGTGCAGCACTGGGGACGTGTCTCTCCCAATTCCCTGCTGCCGCCTCTTTGGGGCTAATCCACTCATCACCCATGGGTGTACCCTGGCCATCCGTCTGCTCAAAGGAGTGTGGGAAGAGGGTGGTGGGATGAGTTCAAATGAAAGCCTAATCAAGGAGGTAAACTGGAAGGGTGTGTTTTGGGTCACTGGTGAGCACAGAATAGAGGTGGTGAGCCTGGGGGGGAGGGGCCTCCCCAGCCCTGCTCTAAGCCCACCACCCTTCTTGCTCAGATTCTGGAGAACTTCAAAGTTGAACTCCAGTATCTCAGCGACGTGGACACCACTTTCAACCTCATACTGATGCCTGACAAGCCTATCTTCTTCACCTTCCGGCCCCTCCCTCAGGGCCCACCTGGTGGGTGATCAGAGAGGATGGGCATTGGAGGGGGGCTCGTGGGGCATCTGCTTCTTTACCTGGTCCTCTGCCCCTTCTCCCTCCCAGCCACCTCTGACCCGATGGAATGGGCACTCAGTGGTCAATGTCCCAGCTCAGCTTGACACCCCCTTTCCTCCCCACCTTCCCCATTGCGTGAGGACAATAAACTGATAAACCTTGTGAAGGGTTTTTATTCCATCTGAGCCTAGGGTATCATCACCCTAGTGGTGATGCTCTCCATCTGGGTCAGCATTGGGACTGCGGTGTGAATGGGGACCTGAGCAACTGAATTTGAATCCTTTTCTGTGGGCCCACCCACCTACAGCAGCTCAGGAACCAGCAAGATCAAACTTCTGAACCCTTGGGCCTGGGGGATAGGGACAGGCAGAGGAGGTGGGGGGCTATTAGCACCATGTCAGGGTCACTTTAGCACAGTGGATAGACAGGAACGGTGAGCAATACTGAGGAGTGTGACCAGGGAGCTGTGGGCGATCTTAGCTCGGGCTGGCCCCTCTCATAGGGGTCTGCTTGGTTGACCCCTGGGTGGGAGCCCCCAGGGTGTCATGGGGTCATCTGGTCAAGGTCCAGCCAGTCTTGAGCACAGCAAAGGCAGAAGCCAGTGTGTGAGGGGCTGGTATGAGGTGACTGACCTGGGCATAGAAAGCCAGGGTGCTGCTTCTATGCCAGTTCACCCTTCTCTGGGCTTCCCTAGGCCTATGCTTCCTGCCCCAGGGGGCTGGAGTCACTGGCTGGGCACCAGGCAGGGAGACTGGCCTTTGGCACACACCTTGGGCTTCCTTCTCTAGTCCTGACTGGCCCTTGAGCCCTCTCTGAGTCTATAGCTCCTGATCTGGCCCAGGATCCGATGCCATCCCTAGCTGCCCAAGCCCAAGTCCCGCAGGCAGACTGGGGAACTTGCCCTGCTTCAGACAGCTGCAGAGTCAGTGTGGTCTGATCTACCACGGCCGTCACATTCTGAGCCCATTCTTGGAGCCTTTCTGCTCCATCACACAATCCTCTTTGTCTTTCCCCTCCCTGCTTTCTTTTTCCTCCCTCAGAGATAATGGAGCTGGAAAGGACTTTACTGTCAAAAGATCAAGATTTGCATGGGATAGATGGGATAGATAGATGGGTTAACAAGCTCAGAGTGGCTGCTTGGGTCACCCAAGGTCACACAGCTTGCAGCTAGAACCTGGGCCTCCCGTCTATCAGTAGAGGGTTCCTTTCGCTGCCTCTGTCTGCTTTCCTATCCCTGGCTACATTTGCACAGAGCATTGTGAGTGCAGGCTAACCCTGGCTAATGGGGCTTTTCATACTAACATGAAGCTGTGTGACAGGAGGATTTTTAGTTCCTTCCCTTCTCAAGAATTGCAGATATAATGGAGTTTGGGAGCGGCGGAAAGTCCCAGCCTTCGTCACATCTCCAAACAGGCCACCTCTGGCGGTTTCACTTCTTCCTGAGGTCTGGCAGTGGCTTATCTACCTGGCTCCCACTCTGGAGGCCTCTTTTCCCCCTACCTCCAGGGTTCACTAGGGCCTTTGGCTTTCCAAAGATGGTAACCCCCGGGCAGGCAGAAGCTGCAGACACTGGCAGGAGATCGCTAGACTTCCCAGGCTACTCTACTCCAGGAAAAAAAGTGAATGTTTTTTGACCTACAGCATTTATTAAAGTCACTTTTAGAGGGTGGGGATAAGACTCCCCAGCACAGAAAGGGGGTGCTGCTCGAGTACTCATGTTGCCTGGGGGTTCGAGGGCTTGTCAAGCTTAGTTTCTGAGTTTGTCATCATGGGATCCAACTTCGAGTCTTTTGTCTGGTCCTTGGGGTGGGTTGAGGGGTTCTGTGGAGAACAAAAGCAAGGTGAGGTGACAAAGCCCTTGCCCTCAGAGGCTGATGTGGTCAAATGCATCTTGCCTAAGAAGCTGGGGCTCAGAGGATCTAAAACCCAGTGGGCCATGATTTCCCAAAGACTTCCAAACCCTGTGTTCACAGCAGGTCACACCCCATATCCCCAAGTCCTCAGAGTTCAGCAGGGGAGGCTGCAACCAGAGCCCTGTATTCCTGCCCTCATCTTCAGGCCATTCCAGGAGCCTGGAAACATTTGACCAGGGCTTCAGGGGCTCCAGAGCAGGCTCCAGGGTGGTCTGCCTTGGGGGACTGGGCGGCCCCTGAGCTAAGCTTGAGGGGCAGTTGTGAGCAGACCTATTCTTGAGAAGTGGGTTTCTCCTGAGTTCTGGCCCCTGGCAGGCCTGCAGCCATGAAGTCGCCCAGGAAGAGCACGCTCGGGAGAAGGTAGGCTCTGCCGACTTGGGTGGGGGTCATGGCAAATGCCCAGGGGCAGATCCAGTCCTAAAGGACCGTTGGCATAAGGGCAGCTGAGAAAGGCCCATGTGGGTAACCCTCATCCACAGCCATCTCCTTGATTCTCACCACCCCTGGGGGGAGGAGGTAGCTTTGGCAGGGGTGTCTCACCCCCTTAAACACACGGCAGGCTGAGGGGACAAGGGCCTCTGGTGGTAACGGCAGAAGCTGGAGCCCACCTCTTTGATATATGTCAGGGGAAAGGTCTCCTAGGTTTTCCTCAAGTTCCTTATGACTTAGGGGTGAGGGATGTGGCTGCCAGTCCACCACCTGAGCCCCAAGGAAGTCCTCCAGAGGCCCCACTCACGGGCAGGTCTGTGACGCCAGGGTTTCTGGGGCGCTCCAAGCCCATTTCTTTCTCCTGCAGCCGGATGGCCAGCTCCTGCTTCTCTCGTCCCCAGCGTCGGGCGGAGTCCTCTAGCTGCAGACATGAACAGGGACAGGTGGAAACTGTGGGGAGCAGCAGGCCCATCCCTGAGAGCCAGGGCAAGCAGAGCCTGGGCGTGCCCTCAGGACAGAAAGCAAACCCTGGGGCATTGTGGGCTTGCCACTTTCCCAGGGAGCTCAAGGGTATGAGGCGGAGGTGGGGATTGGGGGTGAGGGGTCCACGTGACAGTCTGCCTATGGATTGTTTCTGAATTCCAAACACGGAGCTCTGGGCCCTTGCACACACGAGGCCATGGGCCTAGTCCTGGGCTGAGTGGTAGCCTGCTGCCCCCCGCAGCCCCCCAACCCGACCCCGACCCCGGCTCTTGCTCACCTGGCTTTCCAGGGAGAGTATTCGGCTCTGGGCTAGTTCCAGTTTGGCCAAGAGGTTAAACTTCTCTGAAGAAGTAGCAAGAAGATCCTATGGGCAAAGCAGAAATTCACACCTGGCCCAATCAGGAGGCCTGTGAGCGCAGGAAGAAATGCCAGGTCTGGGCTGCGAGCTCAGGTCTGCAGGCTGAGCTCAAATCAAGGCTGGACTCTGTCTCAAGTCCCTGCCTGCATATGCTTTTTTCATGGGGTATATGAAGTTTTTACACATCAGTTTTTTAATGTAAAATGCTTGGGAACATCCTTTTGTGAACAGAGGAATCTGACCTAGGTGTCTTTTTGTAAAGCGAAGAATCTGTGAAGCAAGCGTTCCCTGGCCTGTCCTCCATGCATCTGCAAGTCCTGGATGAAGAGAAAATCTCCCCTTTGGTCCCTGCTTCACTCTCTTCTGTAATTCCAATGTCTCCCTTTGGGTCAGCATAAGCAGAAGTGCTTATGCTTATGTAGCAGCCTCAGAGGTGACGAGACCAGGACATTCCTGGAGCCTGGCACCCACCTGTGCGGGCAGGATCCCTGTGCCCATGGAGTGGCCTGGGCCATCTGTCTCTTGCAGCCTCTTTGCCAGGTCTCCTCCTGCTCCCAACTCCCTGGGGTCCACCTGGGATGGGGGAAAAGGGCTCTCCAAGGCTGTACCAGCCCCAGGAAGTGCACGAGAGGGAGTTCTGAGAGGCTCACGTAAAGTCCAAGTGTGGGCAGCCAGGTGACAAAAGGGTTGGGGGGTCAAGGCTCAGGGGCCAGCTAGGGGCTTGATTTTGCCAGGAAGCTAGGTGAGGACAAAGGCAAAACCGTCAGCCACAGGTGTGTTCCCCAGGTGGAAATGTGCCAGGCCCGAGAGCTGGTGCCCAGGGAAACTCCAGGTCCCTTGGAGAATGTGGGAGGCCAGCTTCCGGTCTTGACCTTCAATTTGGATTGTGCTGTGAGTGACTGCTAGGCACACAGGGACCACCCGTCCCCCAATCCTCTGGCTGGCCCAGGTCAAGCCCGCAATGGCGCCTCTTACCGGCAGGGCCTGCTGTTGCAGAATGATGGGGGCCCCCAGTTGCCGGCTCTTATCCAGCTCTGCCCGAAGCCTGGTGTTCTCTGCTAGCAGTGCGGAGCAAAGGTCAGCAGGCAGATTCTCTCCTGCAGTCCCTGGGGGGAGGCCGGAGGCGGTGGGCTTGGGGAAGTCTGTGAATAGTCACAGCGGTTCATGCAATAGGCTTTCCTGCTCAGGGCCCTGGTCTGATCTTCCTTGACATTTTGCTCCACTCTGCCCCTCCTCTGCTCTCAGGCCTTCAGTGACTCCCACTGCCAGTGCGGTCAGGTCCACACCCCGCAGGCTAGGTTCCTTGGGGCCTAACTCCAGCGTTGTCCCTAACCACTGCCCTCCTGCCCTTCATCCTGGTCTACTCAAGTCTTCACCTCTCTCTTTTCTCCCTTCTCTGTTCCTGGTGTTGTCATTCCTTTGTCATTCCTAGGCCTTGACTCTCTCCTCCCCAAGTTGTCTTCTCTCCTCCCACTCCACTTGGGCTCTTGAAAGGCAGGTCTAGCTTTCATTGTTTTCTAAAGTTCTTCACAAGCAGCTTGCCTGACACCCACACACCCGAACAGTGAGGGCTGAGCCCAGGCTGGGCACACAAGGGCCTGGTGAGGCTGCTCCATAGACTCAGGGACACCTCCTTGAGCTGGTCCAACATGGGGTGATCTGCTTCTTTCCTATCAGCAGAGACCTCTCTGACTGGCAATTCTAGGTGGCTCTGGTTAACACCGCTGGAGAAAACAAACCACTGATTTTACCAAGATATTTTTTGCTTTGCAGAGGCAGACTTGATTTGGAGAGATGAGGAACTAAGTCCAAGTGTCCTAAAGTTAAGAAGTCAGGAACCGCTGCTCCGGGCAGCCCTCTAGGCTCTCTCCATCTGTGGCCTCTCCCCAGAGGGTCCAGGCTTCTTTCTAGCCTGAGTCACACACTGCATCTTGCCTGAGGGGAGCTCAGGGGCCCTCTGCAAGATCTGGGTGCCTGAACAAGTAGTGCCCTTCTGTCCTCTTCCAGGGTTCTCCTGCAACTGGGAGGCTCCAGGAAGGCAGGGTCTCCAGGCAGGGAGGAGAGCTGGGGGGGCGGGGAGTGGGCCCGCCCATGGGGGTGCAGGCTCACCGGCGGCGCCGGGCATTCCCTGCAGCCTATTCAGCAGGGGCTCATTCTTCTCCCGAAGCTTGTCCTCCAGAACCCGCTCCATCTTCTCGATCACCTGGAGGGTGGCACGTAGAGGTTGTGCTGCCTGGGCTCCGTACCGTACCTTCCCATCTGTGGCTGGGCCTGATGTGGCCCCTGGCAGGCAGGCCCCCCGGTACCTGCCTTCTCCTGGTGCCTCACAGTCTCCTCCAGAGCCTTCATCTTCTGCAGCTTGTCCTGGTGTCTCGTCCGCAGAGTGTTCTGTGGCTGCTGAGCCTGGTACAGGAGCAGCAGCTCCTTCTCCCGATCATTCTTCTGAAGGCAGAGGGAGGAGAAGGGGTGGGAGTGGGAAGAAAGGGTGTCTGGGCCCCACCCTTGGCCCCAAGAGTCCAACCCAGGCCCCTCTGTTGAGCCCTTCACTGACTGACTCCCGTCCCTCAACCCTTTCTCCTCCTGCTCCTGGGTACAGCTCTTCCCACACTCCCACTCTAGTTACCCCCATCTCTGTACCCTCTGGCCCCCAAGCCCCAGCTCACTCGAATCAGCTCGTTCTGCAAATATTGCACCTTGTCCCTCAGTTTCTTCATGTCCAGCTTGTTCATTAGCAGTTTTTGATTCATGGACACTGGGGGAAGAGGGGATCTAGCTCAGGAAGGAGGCCTCTTCCGGCTCAAATCAGCATAGTTGGGGGCTGGGGGACGGAGTCTCCCTGGAGAGTTGGGACAGGACTACATCATCTGTCTCCTACTCCAGAGGTGACCTGGCCAGCTCTGGCCAGGCCACATCCAGCATCTGTTGAGGACGGCTCCCCGCCACCCTGTCCCACCTGGGCTCAGGTGAGCTTCGGGGACTCCTCTGTGGCCCGTGCTCCCTCACCCAGGTTTTGGAACTCGTCGATGTCGTCGTCCTCCTCCTCCAACCTCTCCTGGTCCAGGTGTCTCCGTAGCATGCGGTTCTCGGCCTCCAGGGTGCCAACCTGTCTCCGCAGTGACAGCATGTCCTCTGCCATCTTCTGCATGGCCCGCCGATAGTTGTTCAGCTCCTGTGGGTTCCAGAGCTCAGAGCTGAGTCTCCAGACACACTGGAGCCTCCCACCCACACCTGCACCCACATTTGGAAGTCAATGGCCAGCAAGCTGAACCCCAAGTCTTAGCCATCCACTGAGGGGTGGTTATGACACGGTCTTGACCCCTCCTGGCTCCATGAGAGCAGCAGTGTTCTGTCCTGGGGCCATCTCCTCTGGAGATGCCAATGTGGGGCCACACACGGGCTCAGACACCAGCTGAGGAAGCCCACAAGTGACAGAAACGCAAAGGATCCTGGGTTGGGTATTCAGGACCTGGACTGTCTTCTTCTTCCTTCTCCCTACTTCTCTCTGCCTCATGTGACTGAAAATCTAGAAAGGAGCCTCTCAGAAATCCCACTGAATTCCCAGGCACCAGATGCCAGGGAGCAGGAAGGGGCATGGGGTAGGTCAGGACCCCCAGACAAGGACTTAGGGTCCAGGTTGTGACCCTGGTAGCAAATCAAGGCAGAAGGTGGGGTCAGGATGCCTGGCTGTGATGGTAGGCTAGGAAGAAACTCCTGGCTGTTGTTCATGGAATATCTTCTGTATTCCAGAGGCCTCCCTCGCTCACTCCTCACAGCGAGCCCACAGGCGCGAGGGTCAGTACTCCAACCAGCCCCATGTACAACTAGGAAACCAAGGCCCACAGCTGTGGCAGAGAGGGGGCAGAGCCAGGGTCTGCCATCCAAGGCTCCTGCATCTGCGCTGGCAAGTTGTACAGTTCTGCCTAGTCACCCTGCCTCTGTGCTCAAAGCAGGTAACCCAAACCAAGAGCCATGTGATCTCAGCTTGGGGAAGAAATTCACAAATACCCATATATAAGCATAGAAAACATAATAGCCTATATTTACAAAAGAATAGAAAT